GACAAGCATAGTGCTGGGCATTGAACAATAAACCTCCCTCCCAGCAGACGATTGAGGGAGTTTGAATAGAATCACCCCAACTATTTATTTTGTAGCACTGGGTGTTAGTAGTACTAGTCGTTTTCGTCGCCGCAGGAATCAAGCAAAGCCTCAGAATAGATTAAGAAAGGATCTTAAAGAAAAGCAATGTAGCAGTAGCTGAGCAATAGAAAAGCAACCTCTCACAAATATGTTCCCCTGGCTCTATCTTCGTGCATTACTCCCAGCCATTCATAGCAATTCATATTATATAATTGACTTCCCCTGGGCTTGTGTAGTACTCCTTGATGAATTCTTAGCAGCCCGGCAGCCATGATTTTGATGAGTTTACACAAGTTGTAAGGGTTTGGAAATAGAGTTTCAGGAACTAAGCAAGCCTCAGAAGAGGTTATGTAAGCAAAGATCTTAAAGGAAAGCAGTACCCAAGCAACAGAACACAGAACAGTAGAAATCACTATCCAGGGTAAACATGTGTTGTACTTTTCCGATCTCAATGAACTTTTCAGAGGTTGGGGATAACTTTGTGATAATGTTTTGTTCCCTCCCCCCTTTTCTGAATCTAACATTATTAGGATATCACTCGTCAATCAACAAAGTTGTTCCCATGATGCCGACACAACTTTCTCCAGGTACAATGGCATTATCCCGTGGAAGATGGAGTGCAGGACGTCTCTTCTGCCATTATTGGGGGGAAGTGGTGGGATGTGCTGGGTATCGGACTTGGGCGTAGGGTTGTTTGGCCTGGATGTCAAATGATGTACAGTAACCAGGTTTGGCTGAATACCCGACCAAGTCAAGCGGAATGTACAGCTCAAAGTGATAAGACACCATCACAGCTAGCTATCCTGCACCATGGCTTTCCTCATGCAATACATGAAGATTTTGGCTCCTCGGCTCCATTCCTGGATATTGTTCGGGACTTCATGCTGATGCCCGCAATGGAGAGATACGAGAGACAACAGGAGAAAAAAGATAAGTATATATAATCAGTCCAATGCATTCACTGCCATGCCAGGTTTCACACAAAAAGGCGCCCTACCCCCAAACTGTGATCACATGTGTAGGATGACGCAAGAAAGATTGGACAGCTCGGCAATACGTAGCACAACATGCGCACTGCTACAAATTCAGCCATCATGCTTGGCTCGCTTCCCTTCTTTTGTTTGTGTGACGGGGCGCACCTTTGGAACTCTATAGAAGCGCAAGTGTTTCAGTGGTCCCTTTTCCGCTGCGACTACTACTGTGTTTCCATGCAAGTCTCGGTTGTTGGCCTTGCCTGACACGTTTTCGCAACGCTATTTCTACCCTGGAGGACCCAGACATGGAAGTTGCTTGCACTTGGCATGCAGCCAGCACCTCAGTCACCACGCCTAAGGAACCTGTTCTATTGTAAGCTGATTCGAGCTCTTCGAGTGAGGGTGGGGTAGGCTGGGCCTCTCATATATTTGTTTGTTTTTTCCTCTTCAGAGGCATCATTGAGAGCTGCATCGCCACATCCAAGAGCTTCACGAGCTTCAGCGAACAAGGAGCTGAGTGCTTTAGGTTTTGCTGCTGTAAATATCATTGATTCTTCCAAGTCTTGCTACTTTCACTTACACAAGGCTTGCTTTGCACCAAAGAGATGTTTGTCCTGCTACTGTTGCAATGGTTGCGTTGGACATGTGCCCAGCATGTTCTCCGGCAAATGGCCAGGATCCTGAGAAAGAAGTCCAATCTTGGAATTCTGTGTCGGTCTTAGCCGGACACCTGTCACCCTGGGGTTATCTGGACGGAAAACAAGAAAGCTCCGATGAGCACCTACAGTGCCATCAATGCGACCAGGAGGTAAATACTGTATGAGTCCTGTGGTAGTTCATACAGGCTCTTGAGTCTCCAATCGCTAGCCAGCAACTTGAGGCAACTACTTGTGCTCTCAGACTGGCTTTCGTTTGAGGCTCCACGAGCTGCCTCACCACATCCAAGAGCACGAGCTGTCACCCAGGTGGAGGTGCTGTTTGGGAACGTTCTTTTGAGGCACTATGGGGCACGATAGGCTAAAGACAGCATCAGGACTCAGGACCCATATAGGTATGCATAGCAGGCATAGCATTGCATAGCTGCATAGCTATAGTTGTTGTTCAAGAGACAAGTGACTTGTACCAGCAAAGCCTCATGGAGTTTTTCGGATGCTGCAATGCAATGACCCTGTACGGTCACACAGAGCCTCTCGCCTGCTGGGAGCCACTCGCCCTTTATCCGAGCCCCTAGTAGCGTCCTTGCTCCTAGTAGCGATGCCAGGAGCCGGCTCCGGTCATGCCATATTTGGTTTGGCCGACCAGGTTTTTATTTGGTGCGAGTGCTGGTAGGCAGAACTGGAAAGAGTAACCCCCACCGGTGTTCGCCTATAAAATGCCGATCCTTTTGTGCTATATTATGGCAATTTTGACCCTCATTTTTTTGGGGCATCCATGCGGTGCACACACTGAATCTTGGTGCTTTTTTGAAGGTTTTGCAGGTACGAGGTCCATTTTGGCATTTTGTATAAACTTGAGTGATTTTGAGGCTGTTAGGGTCAAGGGGGGCATTTTATAGCAGGATTTTCTTTTGACATTTTGATACTGGCACCTGGTCAGTGCATTTTATAGGCAACTGTTTTTTTTTCCTCTTAGATGAGTACAGGACCCACCAAGGGCATTTTATAAACAACATGGTTTCGTTTGTTTCCACGGAAATTGTGGCTTGGTGTTCAACTTTTTTTGTGCTTGCACCCACACGTGGCATTATATAGACAGTGTGTGTGTGTGTTTGTATATTTTCCATGGTGAACCCATCATGGGCATTATATAGGCATGTTCTTTTTTTGGTCATTTTAGGGTTGAATGCTCAGAATCCACCATCCCGATTTTATAGTTTGGAGGTTAGGCATTTTATAGGGCCCAAAGTGTATAGAATGCCTCTAAAAGCATCCAACCCAACAATGAAGAGGGTTCACAGAGTTATATATATACAGTATACATACTGTAACTACTGTATATAGAATTGTTGAGTCAAGAGTGAATCTGCATCGACAGGAGCATCAGGAGCCAACGGCTTCTACACCTTCCCACTATGGCAGCTATAGCCTGGCCTTCAGACTTCGCGGCGGCTTTGGTCCTTGGTGTTTTGGTCCTTGGGATTGGCATAGAAACCACGCACACTCCGCTCTCAACTCTGTTGGAGACCAAGCTCCCGGCTCAGTTCCAAGCTCCGTGGTTTGAGGTCCAAGTGGTTGGTCGGGATGGAGCTATTCATGGCGATGGAACAGGCAGGGATGGCTCATACCGCGCCCATTGCGCAGGATTCCTCTTTTGAGGGCAAACCATTTGCAAAACCCGACCGGCTGCTGTATGTGTTGTACCATTCATGCTGTTGGGTGATGTCCCTTTAAGCGAGCAAATTGCCGGCCGCCTTGATGTTACCCATGCCTGCCATTCCTTCCTCTCTGTAAAACCACCTAGCCAAAGGACGCCTGACGAAATGAGCAACGACTTAAAGGGTTTGTGCACCAATCTTATTTATGTGAGGGGAACTATTTCATTGCGCTCATCCAAGAACCTGTAAAGCGATATAGTGAACCCCCAATGATTTAATATGATTTAATCATTCATGCCTCAACCGTTCCAGGAACAGCTGGGATCAATGGAATTCAAGGTCTTGGTGGGACCAGCAGGAGGCACTCATCCTCCAGCAGTGGGCGGCAAAGTTTGCTAGCATGGTTTTTGTTCATGTTTTTCAAGCAACATTATCAGCACTGTCACATGTGCTTATGTTAAATTAATTGTTTTGTTTCTTTCACTCCGACTTCCACATGCACATTCTTCCACTTTGTGAAGTACCATTGGTGGTCGCACTGGATGACTGTGAGTGTTTCTCGGGCTAAGGCTGACAAACACTCACAGTCAGAATGCGCCACACTGCACAGTCGCTGCTTCGGGCGCACAACATTCTAGTCACTAGTCACTAGTATATCTAGTTCCATCTAGTCATACCTTTAAGCGATTGCACTGTCACACCAATGACTCCTTGGTTGCTTAATTGCACGGTCGCAGCTTTGGCTTCAAGAACCCGGGTGACTGCATGACAGCCCATTCATGCCTTGATTGTCCAGTGCCTGTCATGGACCTGCCAAAGAGTGGCAGCAACCTCTTTGCAAGAAACACATTCTTTATAGCATTGACGCAGCAGTCCTAGGCAACCTTGGGCTGAAGGTTTTCTCATCCAATCTTGGTGTCGATTGCAGTGTTTAGGAGCTTAGACTGTTGCAGCCGACGCATGAACGCTACTCTACGCGTTCAGAATGCAGCTGCATTGCTCCCCGCCGTCGGCAAGTTCAAGGCCAGGCTTGTGGCCGTTCGATGTATTGTTCGTGTTTGGTGATGCTGATATGGGGGATGCGAGGTGCTTGCTGCCACAACCATGACCACGAGCAGCAGCAGCAACAACAACAACAGCAGCATGACAGCAACCAATCGAACCTCAAGGTACCTCACGCCCCACCTACAGGACATTCGAGGGTTCCAAGTTCTTGCATGTTGTTGATACAAGGCTCTCAGTTTCTTCCTTGTCCCTCCACTTTTTATTATTGGCGTATATAGTTTTGTTTTGCCTTGCAGGCCTCCCGATGGTTGGGCAGCTGGCAACGGATCCCTGCTGCTGTCCAGGCCCAGCATGATCAGAGCTTGATCATCATCAAGCAGTTTGGCAAACTATTGTGCAAGTTTAGCTTGCCTGCGGCTTCTGCGCAGCTTCCACATGGAATATACACACATAGACACATAGATGCCCTAAATTAAGCATGAATCGGCATGAAGTTCCCAAGTGACCTCAGACTGGGATAGCAAAAGGTCACTTCGAAGAGCCAGGTAGTGTTAATGTTAATGTTACATATGTGTGTCTAAACTTGTGGAGATCTATCTGTTATAACGATCTTGAAATCTCGGTGGAGCTTTGCAACGACTGTTCACGCGTAGGGGAAACGCTAGCATGCTGGTCGTGCAAATTGTGAGGCTCAAGGATAGACTGGGAGAAGGGGCAACGCTAGGGCCGCTAGGGAGCACAAGGCTCACGGTGCAATCTTGAAAGATTGGGTACCCTGATAGCCTTGTGCTGGGGAGAGCGTCAATCCGATGGCGGACGACGAAGAAGGTGCGAGCCTCTCAGGGTGGCAGACACCCGTTTCCCAAAAGAGGGCCTTGCAGCAGACAGCCTCCAATGGTCCAGCCATGTCACCCGCTAAGCATCACAAGCAAAGACGATTGGAGGAATCTCCATTGAAGCTTTCGATCAATGACTGCTCCAGAGCTTGCCGAGCTGTTTGGTCAGATTCTCGTTGCTTCAGCTGGTGGCTTGAGATTTTCGGGCTGCTGGGTGCTAGGGACATCGTAACAAAAGCAGCTCCTGTGTGCAAGCAATGGAGGGAAGTGGCAGAGGGGAAGGAGCTTTGGTCCTTTGTTGCTAGCCGTTTCCGGCTTGTGGATCAGCATGTGGTCATCGAGAAACTTGCTGCAAGACGCTCCAAGGGCCGTATGTTCCAATGTCGTCACCTTGGCTCAGGAGATTTGGTCCTTTTGCGAATGGTAGATTTGCAGGCGACCAATGCAGGAAATGATGATGGAATACCGACATCCTTCATCAGAGAGGCAGCTTTGCTTTCAGAACTTCGGCACCCAAATGTAATCAGGCACTTCGGAGCTGAGATCCTGGACAGGTGCGCAGTCACATGCACTGAATTTGTGCATGAGAGTTGGGCTGCTTGGTTTGAGAAGCTAAAAGCCAAAGCGCCTCCCCAGCGTATGGAAGACATCCGAGAGAATTTCATGCAGATGCTCACTGGGCTCCGCTTTTTGCATCACAAAGGGCTCATGCACCGCAACTTGAAGCCAGAGAATATGTTCATTGACCAGTCTGGAACGGTGAAGATTAGTGACTTCACCACGACACGAATGCTTGATATTCCCTTTCAGGCCTACACTCCAGAAAATCCCAAGGAGAGAGAGCGATCAAGTCGCGAAGTGCGGCGCTTGTGGTACCGGTGTCCCGAGCTGATTTTGAGAGAGGAGATCTATGGCCCAAAAGTAGACACATGGTCCGTCGGGTGCTTGTTTGTCGAAGCGTCGACGGGGCGCACGCTTTTTCAATCAGAGTCAGAGATGGATCATTTGTTCAGAATTTTTCGCCTTTTGGGCACACCAACTCTAGCAGATTGGCCAGAGGTTGCCAGAGCGAGGTGCTTCTCCCCAAAGTTCCCCTTGTATGAGGGCTTCAGCTTTCCACAAGTTACACGAGCCGAATGTTTGGACAGCTCCAATGACCTGGAGCGCCTCTTGCAGCAGGCGCAACCAGACAGAGAGGATGTGCTACAGCACCTAATCGAAATGGCCAGCGTGGTAGGTGTGGATGGCATGGTTTTGCTTGACCTCTCCGTGACCATTCCACCTTCGAGAAGAGGAACCTGTGAAGATATGTTGCAGTCGCCCTTTTTTAGCCCAAGAAGGCTGCAACCTCAAAAGGCCATTTGGCTGACTGGGCGTCATTTGCAGGGTCCACCACAGTGGGCAGGGTCAGTACTCCCAGAATGCCCTGACTTCCCACCTGTGGCTATGCCTTCCAGCTTGGCCAACTCACAGATGGTTTGGGACATGTTGAATGCCATGCTTGAACAGGAGAAACGCTCTGATGCTTTGGAGGATTGGCCTTTGCCGCCTTTGCCCCCTCAGTTTGATGCGCATGCCCGTGCACGTCAGGTTGATTTTATCATTTCTTTGGCAAGCAGCCTGGCCTTGAGGTCTGGCACAGCCCATTTGGCTTGCTCAATTTTCGACAAGTACCTGACTCTACAGCAGATGCCCATTGCGCCAGGTCACATCAAGGTAGTTGCAACCACTTGTCTAAAGATTTCGGACAGCTTTGCAGAGCAAAGCAACGAATACTACAAGCAAGAAAATGCTGCGACCTATGCAACGACAGCAGGGTCAATCACTCCTTTGCAGATACTTCGATGTGAGAAAGAAATGCTTCCCAAGCTGCGCTTCAAGCTTCACCAGCCTACTATCCTGTGGTTCCTGCAGTGCTTCATGGTCTATGCCAAGCTGTCCATAGGTGATGACGTAGGGAAAGCCGCGTCCTTCATTGCAGATTTGATGTTGCTTGACTTTGAGATGCACGTTTACCCACCATCATTGAAAGCACATTGTGCTATCTTGATGGCAGCGTTTTGGGTGCAAGACGGCAAGTCGTATCACTCAGAGCAGTCCGTTTCAGTTTCAGCATTCTCGGGAAAGCTATCCTTGCTGGAGCACTGGGACAATCAGATCCGCAACAAAATTTGTAGGGCCAGTTGGGAGACTGCGGAAGGATGTTTGCACACTGCGGTGCGCATGCTCTTAGACAAACGGCCAGAATGGGCGGGGCGTTTGCGGTTGAAAGCTGTTGAGACCAAACATGCGCAGATCCTGAATAGGATCCCGATCCCCGGGGCCTTTTCGTCCCGATCAAGTTTCCTCAAGCTGGTTCGGTACATCGTGCCAGACAGCTCGAGACATTTGGTCCCAGAAGGCCAGACACAGAGCCAGCACAACTAATTCGGGGTTAGAACAAATAGGTTGCGACAACGACCTGCCACGTTCTCATATTGGGGGAAAATGTGCGAATGCTGATGATTGTGCGGATTCTTTTTCTTGTAGGAGTTGACGCATATATAATGTCATGAAGTAAGTAGTGAAGAAATGACAGTATCAAGACATCAAGAGGCTGAGGGCTGAGGGTTCAATCTCTTCGGCCTTTAGACCGACATTGGTCTCCACACATCCAGACATCAGTCCATGAAGGTGACCGATGTCTCGCCACGAGATGGGCTCCAAAACGAAGCTGCGGGGGGCCTTGGCGGCCTTGGGTTAGAGATCCTTTCATAGGCTGTGGCTGGATTGCGCCGCGGAATGCACCGGTATTTCAATGTGTTTCATGATATTTCATGTGCAGGGCAAACTTGGCAGATGACTTTGAAGGACCCATGATGCCCATTCTTCTTGCATGTACTTGCAATTCACGTCCCTGTGGAGTCATACAAAGTTTGTTTTGTAGGGCACTTTGGTTGATTGCCCGTGTTTGGTTTTGCAGCCGTTTGCTGTTGAGTGACACCCAGCTTCAAACAGATTCGATCCATACCAATGTTTAGCAACCCTGTTTGCATTTCATGTTTTAAAGATGTTTTAGACCTGAGTTGTGTGTGTGTTTGTGCAACCAAGAGGGTCAGCAGAGAGTGTTGGCTGACGGATTCTGTCTACACAGAGCCCGTGGTGCCATGGTCCAATCTTTGCAGCTGCCCCGCTACAGCGTGCTTGTTTTGCGACGCATTCTGCGAAGGATTCAACCTTTGAGGTCAGCAGCAGTGACTTGGATCCAATTCTGCATAGAATTTTGATGAATTTGGTCTGAGACGGCCACTGAGTCACTGAGATGTGGGAGCGGCTACAGCCTTTCGAAAGTACTGTAATTTGATGGTTTTTGATCGTCCAGTATGATGATATGTCCTCTTCCTCAAATTTTATGAATGACCTGTCCTGTTGCATCCTGTTCGTTCCATCCTTGCTGTGCTTCAGCTGCCCGGCAGGCCGTTTTGGAGCCCGCATCTCCTGATGATGGAACTGCCTTGGGACTTCAATGCATGCTTCGTGGCTCCTGCCACATCCAAGCTTTCGGACGTGTCGAAGATTTATCTTACATCACCGGCAGACACGGCTCAGCGTTCCTTGGATGTACACTTGTGTGATCTTGTTTGTAAACTATGATGTGTCATTTGGAGAAGACATCAGAAGAGGTCGCAGACGAGAGATTCCCCGATCTTCAAGTGCATGTTGCTTCTTAGCCTGGGCCGGGAGAGGATGTGAGCATCGTGGTGTCAAAGCCCTTTTCACTGTATGCTCAACGGCTGAGCGGGTTTCTCAAACAACTGTGCCGGTTGAACTTGAACACTCTGATGACTCTGGTGGTAAGATGTTTCGCGACAGAATCCTGGTTGCAAGTAAAGATAACAAATCCTTTGGAATCTTGAATCGAGGGCTTGTTTTGCCTGTGGGTGTCCATGTGCAATGCAACATGACACATTCTGGTTATGCGTTGCGATATGTTCAATGCATAAATATGTGCAAGTTTTGGCACTCGACTACTACCTGACATGATGCTTTGTGATGTTTTGTGTGTGTGACTCATCATTCAGCTGCTTTTGGCACACCCTGCCTGCTGCCACAACAACCTCCTGGCGCGCAATTTACGGTCATAGACACCTTGCACACACACACAAGGCTTGCGAGAACGCCTCTCGAGCCACACAGAGTTCCTGCAATCGAAAGAGCCCTTCACGAAGCGCCCCCGCAAAACTCTTCGGGGAACCCTTTGTCCGAAAGGTCCGAAGATATCTCCGTCCGATGCTTCCAGTATTGAAAAGGACATGTGCGGTGCAGGTGCAGTATGGCATTAGTTTGTGTTGGGGCACATGATTCACACAAATCAATCACACATACGCTACATACACCGATGTGTTCTCAGTGTGTGTGTGTGTGTGTGTGCGCATAGGGGGCCTTGCTGCATCTTGAAGGCCTTGCAACCCAAATTGCAAGTGGGTTCGCCCGTGAACCAAGGCTGTTGGGCGAACCGGAGCCCTCAGAAGACGGCAAACCCAGGCGACTTCCACAGTGTGACATCTCTTTGGCCAAGCTGTTGGAAGGCTTGACCAAGCAACTGCTGCAACTTCTGATGTCTCATGTGCAACGACGAGGGTGGAAGCTATCTGGCCAATGGTCTCATGAGATGCTCTTGAATTTTTATACCAGGCCCACTCGAGGAACGCATGCAGGGCCAAACCTTTATTTGCACAAGGATCTTTCTGCCCTTACGTTGTTGCTGGTCCCCTCCCACGGCGGTGGGAAACTTCTTATTGAACGTGCCACGTCAAGAACCCAAAGAGCCGACTGTCGAGCCCATGTTCATGCCTTAAAGGACCGCGGAGTCTTATTGGTGGGCACACGCTTTTCAGAGGCCTTCCCGAAACTTGCGCGCAAGGCAACACCCCACCGGGTGGAATATTCGACTGGCGGCAAGGTTACAAGACCGCGCTTGAGCATTGCTTTCTTCTTTTGTAGAGAGCAGCTTAGTGCCAGAGAAGAAAAGCTGAGGTTGTGAGAACTCATACTTGACTTCTGCAGTTTGCGCTGCATGTGACAATAGGCATTCCAGTGACAAATTCTGACACTGACTGACAAGAGACGCTTCTACAATCAAGGTCAAGCACCTGATGGACTGTTGAGTCTTCACGCGCGGTGCTAAATTTTAATATAGACTTATATACAACTTACAAATTATTTATAGTCAGACCCGCTCAGGTCAAGGTCAGCACGCCGGTCAAGCTGGAACTGATTAGGCGGCTTGCCGCGGCAGGTGTGAGAGTCTTGGCAGTACTGTAGAAAGATGATTAATATATATTAATATTGAAGACATCATGTATATATAGGTGTGTGTTGGGTTTTGGACTTTAAATGACTCTATATAGTAAGTTACTTCAAGCAGGCGTTGTTCTATACGCACTATGAAAGGCCGAGATTGTATTTGGCTGTGAGATGCTGTGAGTATGGTGTTCGCTTCTTAATTGTGGATACCGCTTTTTGTCCGTTTCTTGGCACTTTGGGTTGACCATGTTTGTGCGGCCATTGCAGGTCCCTTCCACGACTTTGTTTCAATTTGTGATTGGATCAGAGCCTTTGGTTCAAGACCAAGTGAACTAAGCCTTCAAAGGGTCGCACTCGTGACACAAGTGACTGCCATGCTGGACCTCATCACCATCTTCTCGGCGGCTGGCTTGCAGCAGGAGCTGAAGGCCGCAAATGGCGACAAGAGCTTGATGATTTCTGAGGCCAGGTCGCAGCCAAACCACTCCAACTCCAACATGAACAAACATATGCGTGTCATGATGTCCAACACGTCACCTGACCGTTTTTTGTGTCAAGCTTTTAAACCGTCGACAATCGAGAAAAATGGCTCAGGGTGCGGAGGAGCCTAGCTTCCTGGAAGCTGCCGCGCAACAGGTCTCAGTGGCCTTGGATGTGGTGGATGGGGCTGTGGCTGACGGCTGGGAGGCGATCTTCGGAACCTTGGCCACATACATCAACCAAGGAGTTGGCTGCCTATCATGCCTATCCATGGAGGCTGAGGTTTGCCAAGCTTGCAGACAGAAATGATGAGTATAGTATAGTTTCTACAATACTATATACACAATTATACACATATAATATATATATATATTTAACGGGAGTTGATCTATTGGGGCGTGAAAGGGTTTTATATGTATATATTGTATGTGTATATATATATATGCCAATGACCTCTTATGTAGATGTTGTTCAAACATGTTCAAATCATCCGCAAAAGATTCGCGATGAGCTTCGCAAAAGTTTTCTCGCCAAATAAATAAATAAATATATATACATACACATCGCAGGTCTATTCATGTTATTTCCTTTCTACCGGCATTAGGCAGAAATACAAGACAATCCTCCGACAGAGCCGCTGGGTGGAAGATGGCGGAAGTGCCCCTACAAGTCCCACTGTCACAGACGACTAACAACCTGACAACTCAACTTGTCCTTGCTTGCACAGCCCTGACTGCCTACGGGATTGCCTTCCTCCAATTTTAGCTCACAAACTGCAACTGGGTCATCCTTGCGCAGCTGTGACATTGAGGCAACGACACCCACAGGTTGCACAGATGTTTGCGCATGATATGATATGTTTTCTTTGGGGGGGAATCGCCAGTGTGATGTTTTGTTGCGCGATTGAATGTGTTTTTAAAGTCCAGGTTCCAAACCTGAGCCGCCCAACATTCCCCGAGCTGCATTGCCCTGTCTTGGTAGCTGGTAAGAGGGTTGAATTGAAGTGTGCCTGACATTTCTACGCCTACCCCAAGCAATTCCTCAAGTTTGTCGCACAGATGCTGTTCTCAACCTTGTCCGTGGGTCATGCTGCAAGATGTCAGTCACTAATTGTTGATACAAATATAGTTATCACATGTTAACTAGACATGGTTTTAGGACCGTGCTTAGCGATGGGGCCGCAACAGATTTCTTTTCCGCGAAGAATGGCCCTTCCGTATCAACACCGTCAATAATGTACTTTTTGGTTTCGTTTCGACCTAAAGATGTATGTAGAGAGCGGTTGCCCGGTTTCCCACAACATGTGGGCTGCTTGCTGCTTCCTCTATGGCCCTATGACATGCTGGAACTTGACTTATTGAAGCACTTTGGTGTCACTCTGCTTCCCGAGCATGCAAGGAGCGGAGGAACAACCCGAGCCAAAGAAGGCCTGATTTGAGGGACAAACCTACCACAGCCAAGGATTTTTGAATTTTTGGCTGAGGTCACGGCCTTCACATTTTCATTTGACGTCATGAATACTGACGAATGTCGTACGTTCTCAGTTGGAACACTTCAGAACCAGTTAATGATCAACACTGCATTGACATCACAATGTACGATCACATCGTGCACGTCAAGGATTGCGAGTTGTGCAAGGAAGATCGGAGTTCTGTGGAAACGAAATGTTCCGACAATCTTCCGACGAGCGCTGTGCATCACTGACCTGAGGGAAAAAGGGATCCAACCAAATCCTTTGCAGCATTGATCTTTGGAAAAGACGTGGCATATGCTTGATATTTGGACATATCATTATATATTATATTACATTGTACATAACTGTTACTGCAGAAAGAACAGCAATTCAGTCATTCAGATAGTCGTGGTGGGCCCTGTAGTTGTACCCTTCAGGTCAGAGGCCTCTTATTGAGCCAATTTGAGCTACAGTGTATATGGCATATTTTGCACATCGCATTGTGACAATGTGCATTTGTTGCAGTGGAGGTTGGATTGTTTGGCTATGTTCAGTCAACAGGAGTAGTCAATAATTGCTGTAAACCATGCAGCAGGGGGTGCAAACTTTGCTCGAGTTCGATGTTTTTTGTAGTTGTTGATTTTACTGAACTGTTCTAGTGCCAGGATTGATGTTGGGGGTGAGTGTAATGCTTTGCTGCCCTGTGCTGCGCCGGCGTAAACAATTGTGGCTTTACCAGGGTGGCGTTATTTGTGCCGCATCATGCCAGCAGAATGCAGCCTTCTGCAGGGCTTGCAGAAATGACGATCCAGGGTTCAAAGTGGCATGCGTTTTACAGAGAACCTCACAAGAGACGTCACATAAGACCACTTGTTTTGTTTGGCCTAGATGCCTTCAACGATGTCACTGTCGTGCCTTGCCGCCTCTTCACAACATGGATAGGCGCCTGAATGGCGGCCCATGACAAGAAGTGGCACATCACACAGGACAGAGCAGAGAGGGAGAAGAGGCCGGCATATTTCCGCACAAGTGCAAACTCTTAAAGGGCACTGTCTCTCAAATAGTCTATAACATTCTATCACCCTGGAACCCCGGGCAGCCAAGAGCAGCACTGTATCATTGTTGATCCGTCTCTTCCAGGCGACGCTGGAAACGGGCGCGAGATCGCCATGAGAAAAGCGAGAAGATGCCGAGCAAGAACTTCAAGCGCAACGTGTTTTCTTTTTTGCAATTTGATGCGTTTGCTTAATGCCACCTCATTTTTTGAAATGGCTAAACTGATTGGCTCTTTGTCACTTTGTCAGTGTGTTTGTCTCCTTTGAGTGTTTGTTTTTTTCTTCCGTTCCCGTTTAAGGAAGGAGCGGCGGGAACGTCCAAAGTCACCCAGGGGCGAGGAGGGTTGGTCTTGGAGTCGCTGGCTTTGGGGAAGCAGCTTTAGCAGCACGATTCTGACAACGGACAACCGGCCTTCTTCTGGGGCTTTTCAGGATCTCCAGTCTTAAAGTTTAAGAAGATGATACGGTTCCAACTTGTGCTTGCTTTTTCTTACTTGAACATTGTTCGTCCTTTTACAGTTGCTTTTTTGGCCGAAGTAACTGAAGTGCCGAGGCAAGAAGCCTCAGATTTCCCGATTGCCATAGGTTGCCATGTGTTTTTTGCACGGACCTACATCATGTGTGGAGTTGTCATGGTGGCGAATGAGGTCGCTGCTGTGAGGTGGCCCCTGGCAATGGCAAGGAACGCATCGACGACGAAGAAAGGAAACGCAAAGAGGAGCTTCGGGGGAACTGAGGGGGGTAAGTAGGAGTAAGGAAGCTACTAAGTTGGAGGCCACCGCTACTACTTGTAGTAGCAAGGAAGCTACTAGACAGGGATGCAGAAGAGCTCAGGCTTCTTCAAGGAACCGCTCATGGGGGAGCTTCCTCGCATGATTGATTTGGTTCGTAGATTCTTACTGAACTTATCATTGAAGTCGGAGAAAGGCCAGATCCACACAGGTCTCTGAAGATTAGTCACCTTAGAAGATGATGTTGCCTTTAGTGACCGAACTTTAGTCTTTTGGTTAAGTTAATATGAGTATCTCAACATGTCCCAAGCATCATCAGCTTGAGCGGTGAGCGAGCTGCGCAGGGGTAATGATAGTTTTCGTATTCTGTTTTGGGTGAACGCGGGCTCTGAGCTGCTGACAGAGAGGAAAGAAGAGCCAAAAGGAAGGAGGAGAAGCAGAAGCAACGCGAGAGATGCTAGAAATGATTAGCCACATTCGAGGTTGGATTGTGTGCCTCTCTGTGGTATGTCAATCTACTTTTAGTTTTTGTTGTTCAAATTGTGACATGTCAGTTTTGTTGTTGCCCGTCTTTGTGTCCTGTCTTTGCACTCTTCCTCGCAAGCTGTCCCGAAGCACGGAAGTCCCAGAACAACATCAGTAACATCAGCAAAGCCCTAAGATGTGCTGAGGAGATGAATGGCGCAGACAGCATCAGGGTAGATCCGGAAGAGAAGACATGGGTCAAGCGAGAAATTCACTAGTGGAAAAAGGCCATACGGCTGACCGCCTGAGATTAAGGACTGTCAGGGCTGGGATGATTGAGTCACATTTGCGCAGTACTGACACAAAGAGAAACAACATGTTTCTTCACATACCTGGGCTTGTTTGGGCAGAAACTGAAGACTTGTCGACTTTCCGGGACACGATGCACAGGGCAAGTTAGGGGCGTGGACTTTCAGGAGCAGCAGCCGGCTTTTGGATGATGGGGATAGCGATGCTTCTGGATGCACTGCGCGCAGTGGCTACACAGGGATCTCAAGGGCTTCTTCTTTTGCAGCTTGAAACTGTTTACCAGTAGCAAGAAGCTACTAGGAACAAAGGGCATCGCTACTAGGAACAAGAAGCTACCAGTTACTGGTAGGAGCAAGGACGCTACTGTATAGCTATATTCGCTTGGCGTCGCTTTGCGTCGCTTTGCGTTGCTTTGCGTCGCTTTGCGACAAAGACCGCTTGCACCTCACTCATTGTGTCATGTGGAACTGCTGAAGACCAAGGGCATTGCACCATCCAGCATTTCAAGAAAACACATTGCGACAAATTTTGTAAGTTTGTGTTGTTCTATTTTCTTGCCTGCCTTGCCTGCAGGCGGAGGCTTCCAATCGTTTCTGTGTTTCTCCACATCCTAGTCCTGAAAAATGATTTGCAGTAGAGCGGTGATTGAAACAAGGGGTCGGCTTTCCGCGCATCCTTGGTCGGACAGAGTCTGTGGCTTGAACTATCTTGAACTGAACTTCGGCAACATCCCAAGTTTCAGCCAAAACGTGGCACATCAAATAATTTGACAAGAATTGCAGCACTTTTTTTGTGGAGCAGTTAGAGCTGCTCCTTGTTTTGACTGCGGATTCTTTGGTGGTTCTTATGTACGTTATGTAGTCATATAGTTCCATGACATTGAAGTACTTTTGAACACAACCTGAACGCTGTGTTTCAGACACCAGGTTTTCTCATGCAAAGTTTGTTGCACTACAGCCTATTGGTCAGTTGAAAAAAAGACAAGCAGAGTGAGGCATCCTCTTGCGCATCATATGTCTCAGATGACGCAGAACCTCGAAGAAGGAGAAGTGAGGCCTATCTACCTTGTCATCGCTTGGTGTCATTAACAATGTCACACTGAGATAGTGTTCTACTGGCACCACAGAAAACAGTTCCAAATGCAAGCAAAGTAGCCAGCCAATCAAGACTTTGGAATGGCCAGGACATGTTCTTTGGTTTCGCTGGTTTGATGATCAGAACCAGAAAGTGCTCTCACGTGCCAGGCGAGTGAGTCAAGGAGACGAAGCCGCGTGGAGGAGGTGACCCCATCAGCTGTCAAGGCGGAAAATCATTCGCCAAAGCGGTTGGATGTGTTGTAGAATGCAGCCGCTGCAAACAGCAACAAATGATAGCGGGATAATAGACTCAGCTGATACAACATTTTCGAGGCGCCCTGTCACTGGTCACGCCTTTTGTGGGGCTGGGTAAAATTAGTTGCCGGTTTACTTGGGAGAGTTTTGCACGTTTTTGAGCAGCCACACAAGATTATTTTGATATCCGCAACTCGCGCGCGCGCGCAGAATCTTTATCACGTTTGGTTGCCTGCTGTTTCAATTGAAGCCTCTCATTCAGTGCATTCATGATTCCTTGCCTTTTGATAATCCTGCTTCCACCCGGCTCAGGATGGTTAACATGAAGGGTTGTAGAGGTCCAATTGCTCAGCAAGAGCCAAGACATTAACGTTACAAACTGCAATCCATCCGAGAGCATATTATGGCATGATTTTAATCAAGCTTAGAGCAAGAGAGGGGCTGTGTGGCAATCAGGCAAGCCTTTCAACATTCAATTCTACTGCAGACAGCAGTGTGTGCAGACGGCTTTTCACATTTTGTGTCAATTTTTCTTCGACCTGCCATGGCATCAGGCATCCCGAAACGCAGCCGCTCAGCAGGTCTGTGGCTTTTGGGACTTTGCATTGCATGCTGCAGTTATGGCCCCCGGATGCTCCTTGAAGCATTTGGATTTGCTAGTAACGGCAGATTTGCATTGGCAGACCGAGATTGTTTCGTTTATGTCACGTGGGCATGGGCTGCGTCTGAGGTTTTTGCTTCCAAGTGTGGCACCAGCCCGGCCAGGGGCACAGATGCAGGTTGACACGGTTGACACCACAAGATCTCATCTCACCGGGCTCACTTGGAACTTCGCTCCCAGCTTTGAGCCGAGTTCTGGCCGCGTCCGCTCTAGCTCCACGGCCCTTGGCGTTGGCAAAGTGTTGAAGGTCATGCTTGGAGTGCCCAGTGCGTTGGCAGTCTTTAGCTTCCTCATGGTTTTGCGCGGCTACACGACAAAGGAGAGTGATGGTGATACAATGCAAGAGAGATGGTCTAGTTATGCCAAGAAGCCCGGTCAGCGTATGTTGGCGCTGATGGCTGGCGCCGCACGTGTGGGACTCATCGCCTTAAGGGCCAAGCTCATCAGGGATCCAAAAAAGAAGTCGGCCATGCACACTCGTGCTGGCAAACGGGCCGTCACAGAGCTGGTCAGGTTGGGTCCAACTTATGTAAAGCTCGGGCAGATCCTGTCATGCAGAGAAGATTTGGTGCCGAAAGAATACATCAAAGAGTTGCATCTTGAATTTGCTGAGACATGAGTTAATTGTGCAAATTTCACCCCCATCAAAAGCAGAAACTCTAAAACTGTATATTTCCGTTTGTAGCCTTAAATCATGTTGAGTCTGGGTTCTGTAGAAAGTGATGCAAGATGAGAAGCGCTTGGGGAAGACCCCTGCCCATACAAGAGGTTCCCCAGTATCCTCAACGCACAAGTGCTACTGCTGTTGGTACTCCCGTCGAAGATCATCGTTTATAGCCAAGGAAGCGTTTGCAGGATGAAGTGCCTGCTTTCAGTGGGAAACGCGCTTTGAAGATTATCGAGACTGAGCTGGGCAAGCCGGCCAGTGAGCTCTTCGCGGAGTTTGATGACAAGCCTTTGGCAGCGGCTTCTCTTGGACAAGTGCACCGCGCCAAGACCAAAGACGGGACGGAGTTGGCCATCAAGATCCAGCGCGATAACTTGAAGGAAATGTATGACCTCGACCTCGCCCAGTTTGACAAGATTGCGGTCATGCTTGACAAGTATAAGATTGGTGTCGAGGGTGCTTCCAATGTTTGGGTTGACATGTTTGAGGATGCCAAAGTGATTTTGTATCGCGAGATTGACTATCGTGCTGAAGCCGAAAACACTCAACGGTGGTACGAGAACTTCAAGAATGTGAAGTGGACAACAAGTTGCATGGCCCATGCCACTGTTGTCGCTCTTTTTTGGGGATAATGGTGCATTCATGCAAGTGGTGTGCGACATGCTTCGAACACTTGTTCACTATAAAACTTAGATAGTATTATACAGTATAATAGATCATATTAATCTAAGTGTAGATTCTAGAGGTTGCCATTCTTATCAAATGGCTGGCAGTGAGGCCCAAGAGTCATCGATGAATTTACGACCTCGAAGGTCCTTGCTTTGACCTTCGTTGCCGGCACCAAGATTTCAGATCTTGAAAAGCTCAAAGAGCAAGGATTCGATCGCACGCAACTGGCAAAGAACTTGGCACAGGCTTACTTGCTCGCCTTTTGCAAGTCTCTCGTCATCAAAGACAATTTTTTTGCGATTTTCATCACCCGTTGATATCCTTATATAAGTGATTGCACTGCTTTTCCAAGCCTTTCTTTTTATTTGCCGTTGGTCTCCTTTACTCAGCTCAGTTCAGGTTTGGCTTTTTCAACACAGATCCCCATCCTGGCAACTTGGCCGTCGATGATGGTTATCCTGGCGGGCGGCTAATTTTCTACGACTTCGGGCAGGCAAGGATTCTGGGTAGTTACTAGTAGTACGGCCAGGAGCCCCTAGTAGCGATGCCAGGTTTTCGTAGTAGCTTCTTGTTAGCTGTTGTATTGTGGGTGCATGACTTGCCTCAGCGCATTCATTCACTTATTGATTCATTCATTCATTCATTCATTCATTCACTCGTACAGTATAGTAGGACATTGGGACAACTGCTAAATAAATGATTCCGGAGTTGCAGCAGCGAAATGTGAAGCAAGCCGACCCTGGCAAGGCCTGTGAGCTCCAGGATAAGCAGGCAGGTGGGATTCTTCAAGTGATCCAATCGATCGTGGATTTCGAGGCCGCTGACTGCGTAAAGGCGATGGACAACCTGGGTTGCTTGAAGAAGGGAGCCGATTCTGAGCTTTGTGCAGTCCGATTCTTTCTTATGTAGCACGAAACCACGCCGCTGCGGAGTGGAACCGGGAGTTTTACTTTCTAAGGCTGTTTAAGGAACACATACTCAACAGTTGCATGTTGCATTGGCTCAGTGTGTGCCTCATGCAAGGACTTCAAGAAGGTGGAGGGTGTGGCTTCCTTTGCAAGCTGGATATTGTTCTTGCTGTTGGATTTCAACATTAGCTTAAGTGTAGGGTGTTTGGCCAGAGAAATAGTGTCCTGAATCCTGGACGGATCAAGGTCGTGCAGAACAACTTTGAAACAGGCAAGGTCAAGAGCAAGCGCAGCAAGCGAAAGCGAGAGCTCACAGAAGAAGAGAAGAACAAAAAGGCACCCAAGCAAACAGAGGCTCCGGATTGTTTTGTGGCCCTACATTTTGCAACGTTTCCAACTTAAATGTGTTTCATGTTCAGGGTCTTCTTGCTCCTGGGACAGTTGTAGTGGCTTGTCATGCTGCCGTATGATGAGACCGCAGGTGATGAAATACTTCCAATTGCCGCCTGCTTTGGCATTTGTCGCGCGAGCTATCACCCAAATGGAAGGTGTTGGCGTTATGTTGGATGAGGACAGGAGTTTCCTTTGGACTTTGTGAATTCTTGTTGAGCTCGGTTTGATGTTTGTGCAGGACTATGAGTTTATTGATTTTGTGGCGGACAAGGTTCCCGAGTTGCAGGTGGAGCGAGGTGCAGGAATCAGCTACATTGCAGGTCAGCTGTTCAAGACGCTCCTTCTGAATTATTCCAGTTTCTGGCCAAGCTGGGGCATCAGCCAACTTATATATATATAAATAAGATGGGGGGTACCTTGGTTAAATTTAAATATTCCAGGTCATACCGTGAGTTCACAGAATAGTTTTTCTGGAATATTTTTGCAGGCATATTTATGGCTGGAGGTATGTGATACTGATACTGGAGACAAACCCCAGAATATTTTTTTTAAATGAAGCACATGTTGGAGGAGTGATGACAGATGGGCAATCCTGAGAAGGCATGTGGAACTAAACCCGGAATAATTATTTCAAAGAACTAGAACTAAACCCTGGAATATGTAATCAGATCTGGTGCGGCTTCGCTCGAGAACACTGCGTGCTTTTCGTATTCTGTGATTTCTGTCGTCGTTCTCTCGAGATCGATCGTGAGCATTAACAGGTTGAAACATTTTACAGGGATAGTTTGGTAAACGTACGATAATTGTGAAATTTTTGGTTGGTATCAGAGATTACTAAAGGAAACCACAGAAAAATAACGCGGATCTGTCAGAGAGTGCTTGTCATTTGGCTGTTCGTGAGAAGGCATGTGGAACTAAACCCAGAATAATTAATAAAAAAGACTAGATTTTTTCTGGAATATAAAAACCCTACAACTATTCCACTAACTGGTCAGTTCACAGAATATTTATTTCAGATATAACTGGAAGTATATAGGAATATTTAAAAAATATTCTGCCAGGTCTCGACGTGGGTAGGTATCTAAGGCACCCGCCATTAAATAAGACAAATCGAGCATCATGTCAACTGAACAGAAGGAATCCTTGGATTCGGTTGGTGCCCTTGGTGCGCAGTAATTACTTGGTATAGTAGAATCGGATCACAAAGCCCTGTTTCTGATGACTTCTGAGGAATTGGGCAAGAAATTAAGCTCACATGGAATGACACCCCAGCCGCCATGAAGACCATGCTGGGGATCAGTGCCACTGAAGCCGTAAGCCACCTCAAGTACAGGTGCAGTAGGTGCGAACTCATCAGGCCCATCGGGCCTACTGCGAACAATTTTCCCAGTTTTTGAAGAAGCTAATCGCTTCAATCTGCCTGAACTGCGCTTCACCTATTGGAACAAAAAGGCGTGCATGATTCTTGTCAGTGCTACACCGAGTGCAGCCTTGACTCCTGTGGCAAGCCCCTAGGCTCTTCATGCATGGCTCTTCTATTCATGCGTTTTTGCACTTGTCCTGCAGGTTCTAAACCTTGCTGATTTGCAGGGTCAAGATGCTCCATTGGAAAGTCTGCAAAAGGCGTATGGGCCGCCAAATTAAACTATTAGACACGTGTTGTGAAATGTTGCGAAGGGTGTTGAATGCAGGACGTACCCTTAGACGCGTTGCAATGTCACTGTTGATGAGGATCATGGTGCAGTGTAGCCGGGGTCGATGCTCCACCCCCCGCTCTGCAGGCGCCAATTGATCCTGCCGTACTGACGCGCAATGAAATGTCGCGATCCAATGATCCAGGCAGGATTTGCAAACGTTTTGAGCGAAGGCGATTGGTTTCAGTGTTTCCCCTTCTTGCTGCCCATCGATTCACTACCTATCTCACAACATGAAAGAAGTTTCTGAGCCAAGTCCAACCACCAACAACCACCAACAACCACCATCAACCAACATCAACCACCCCTCAACCAACCTCAACCAACCAACCAACCGACCGACCGACCCACCAACCAACCAACCAACCGACCCACCAACCAACCAACCAACCGACCAACCAAAACCAACCACAACCAACCAACCAACTCAACCAACCAGTCATTCACTCTTTGTCCCAGTCCCATTACATCAGCCGGCTGTTGCATCCCCCAGCAAAGTACATATGAACTTTAGCTGATTCTCAATAAAAGCAAATCTAATTAATAGGACCGTTTGAACAATCAACATACCCGACCTAGAATGCAGCGCCAAACTATCGAACCATAATACATCATACGAACAACTGCGATAACCGCGTGGCTTCGCTTGTGTCCTCCAATTGTTTGCTGTTCACAGTGTTTCGCTGGAGTTTGTGAGATTGTTCACCCGTTGGAACAATCACTTGACTTGGCTGTATGCACCACAAGGGGTACAAGATGTAGTTATGAAGAATCAAGCCTTCAAGAGTTGTTAAGTTACAGCTAATAACATGTTGTTTCTTGTAGTTTGTGATTTGGCAGTATTGCGAGCTTGTTCTGGCCACGGGAGAGACAGCTTGTCAGGCTGCATGCTTTGCATTGCCCTTCACCTTTTTGGCTGAGGTGGTCCACCAAGAGGTGACGGAGCCAGACGAAAAGAAAGCAATGCGAAGCACGAGGCAGTGACTTGGCAAGCCATGGCAGCCATGGCTCTAAAGTGCTTTAACAACAGGGCGGGCTGATCAGCTAGCAAGTCGGAGTCTGACTATTCAACTAATGAACAAAGTGCAACATCACGTCCTGGCGATTGAATTGGACAAACGGAAGTACATGAGCACCGTCGCAAACACAAACAACGAAGGGCCATGAAAGATCATGAACATATATGAAGGATTATGTTCAAAGCACTTGTGTAGAAAGTTTTAGACACGGACTTACAAGAGATTGTTTTTCGAGTCTTCGACCGACTTGAGGAAGCTACTGCTCCCTTGTCAGCACGCTCTGGACGCTCAGAGGGTGCAGTGAGCACCCAGAGCTTTCGCTCTGTGGCCTCAACCACAGTGCAGCGCTACTCTGATCAGCTTTCAGGACGCCTTAGGCCTTAAGGAGTCTTAGGAGTGTTGTGACGCCCAACGCCATTTTGCTCCCTTCTGAGACTTGTTGAAGCAGCCCAACTGCAAGCCGTGCTAGGACCAAAGAAGTCCTCAGCTGAAATGAAGAAGCTTGTTAAGGAGTTTGTTCGAGAAATGGTGAAAGGCGCCGCACTTCGTTGAGCATGTGAAGTCAAGAAGTCAATGGTGAAAGGCAGCTCAAGACCTTTCTTGCTTTGGTCGACCTTTCTTCAGTTGGCCTTCGGGCTGCGGTTCTTTCCTTGGTGTCTTTCTTCTTCGGTTTTAGATCCAGGTTGGTTTTTAGATGCTTTTAGGCAAAGAGACCTTTGATTCTTTCACTCTCACGTAGGTAGCTAATTGATTATTTGAGCGGACCTCTTCCAAATTACTACATTGTTGCATATGTTTACTCAGTCACTTGGACGTTCTTGACTCATTGACCTGCAGGAAAAGAAATGAATGTTTTGCGAGCTGATGGCAGCCATATGTCCGTGAAATGTGGACTGACCAGGCAGGATTCTCACCACTCTTAGAGGTTCAAGTAGCTTGGTCAAGTAGCCCTATTCCGAGTCAGTCGACAAGACCGGCAAGTCCAAATATAGCCAATGCTGGTCCAAAACATTTTTCAAACCTTGGTTTGAGCTGGCTCCTTCTCAGCATCCTTGCCCTTCTTTTGATATTTATGTCCCCAAAAGCAAGCAACCTATTCATGCCAAAGCTTCTGAACAAACATGGTCCTTTGTTCGCCCCCCGCCCCCCGCTTGAAACCCGGGTCAAAATGTCAAGACGGCATTATGTGTGCATCCTGTTTTGAAATTGACTGGACAAGACTAGCACCATGGTTTAATGATTCCTTCCCAACTGTCAAGACCGTGTGAAAGACTAGAGGTTGGGGTCTGCCCTATTACCTGTACAGTCATTAACACTCAGTAAACAATTATCACAATGTTTGAACAGCGCATGATCATCAATCATCATCATCATCATCATCATCATCATCATCATCATCATCATCAT